AGATAGATAGATAGATAGATAGATAGATAGATAGATAGATAGATAGATAGACAGACAGAGACAGACAGACAGACAGAGGGAGAGAATGTTGCAAGGAGAAAATCCTCTCACCAGCACAGCTTGGCTGGAGGTGAGAATGAGATTCGGCTTGTCTTTCTGAAGGCCCAGGGACAGCCATTGATGTCACACCTCAGGAGGCGGTAATGGGATTCTAAGACGTCCGTGCGGATTCCTGCACTGTGACTTTGCTTCATTTTGTGACACAGACTCTGCCTACTTCTCACAGCCAGGCTCTGCAGCCGGCACTGTTGGCGTTGTCATGTTTTTAAACACCCTCCGTTCTGACCTCTGGCTCCACCAGCCAGAGGCATAAGTGGCACCCATTAGCTTGGTTCAGTTGGGTCCCCAAATCGATGGCCAGGAATACATTCCATGAAATGGGGAAAAGGATTTCGTCTGTTGAAAAAAACAAACAAACCTGTAATGGTTTACGTGATGTAATGTATGTGAGAAAGGCCTTGGGAGACTAGGAGAAGGGATGCTGCCAAAGGGATGTTCAGAGAAGGGGCTGCATAGCCCAGAGCTGCATAACGGGCACAGCAAATGGCTCAGGAGGCAACTGGACTTTCTTGCTTTCTTTCTTTTAAAGGCGTTACGCTTCTCATCCAAGAAGCTTCTTCAGCTCTGACCGGATGGTGAGGAATGGAAGGATTTACATTCCTTGCAGACAGCTGGTCATTTGCATCCTTTGAGACCGTTGTTGAGGCCACTTGGAGGTTTATATGACCAGCTGTTAAGGTTGAATGGGGAAAACGGAGAGAAACCAGACATCAAAAAGGAAGGAATTATTACTTTAGATTATAATTTGGATGGATCTATACACAACATTTTTAAAGAGCAATTATTTACACACACACACCCCAAAAAATCACACACATTATTAAAAAAAAAGGAGTAGGAGGAATACTTATACTGTTTCCTGCTCATACTGTACCCATAAGTTTTGCTTTATGGGGTGGAATCCAAAACTGGGAGAAATTTAAGGCACGAATTTTTGCCCCGAAGCGTCTTCTTTGTGGCTTTTGAATTCAGTGGTCTGCTTGGAATTTAAAATATTTTTCGTCTTCCTGTTGTCTCCTTGACTATCGTTTAGCTCTGAAGGAGAGAAGGAGGGAGAGTGAGGGAGGGAAGGAGAGAGGGAGGGAGAGAGAGGGATAAGGAAAGGGAGAGAGGAAGTGAAAGGGATAGGGAGAGAGGGAGGGAGAGGGGAAAGGAGAGAGGGATGGGAGGGAAAGGGAGAGAGGGAGGGAGGAAGACAAAAGGAGAGGGATGGAGGGAGAGAGAGAAAGAGAAGAGTGTGAGGGAAAAAGAAGGGCAGGGAGGAGGGAGAAGAGAGAGAGAGAGAGAGGAAGAGGGAGGGAGGGAGAGAAAGAAAGAGATGGTTACAAATCTGCATTTAATCCCTCTGGAGGGACCAATATCCAAGATATCCTAACATCAAATGTCTTGAAGTAACAAACACAATTGTGACAGCCCACCAGCCCATTGTCGATGCAAGAACCGAGAAATCAGCAGCTCAAATCACTGGTGCAGATAGACATTGCAGTCCACTGGGATGGGTGACATCCCTTAAGGCAGACCAGCATCCTTACACCATTTGTTTCTTGAAGGAAGGAAGGAAGGAAGGAAGGAAGGAAGGAAGGAAGGAAGGAAGGAAGGAAGGAAGGAAGGAAGAAAAGGAAGGGAGGGAGGGAAGGAAGGAAGGAAGGAA